TGAGCTATGAGTAGGTACGTGTGTCTATGTGAATTTGCTGGTGTGAGCACCCGTGCCTTCAGAGTACAGCAGAACCTGTCAGTTCCCCAGTCGTGAGCTGCCCAATGTGGGTGATGGGGACTCAACTTGGATTGCTTCAAGAGCAAGCAGTAAGCAGTAACAACTGCTGACTCATCTTTTCAGCACCCAGCTGAAGTTTTCCCAAGGGCAGAGTTTATATCACATTTATCTCTGAATTTGAGTCTGTCTCTTGACTATTGAGAGTAGTCACAGAAATATCTACTGGATTTAGTTGTTGCAAATTGATGTTCACGATTTATGCTGAACTATATAAGCATGAGAATCTTGCAGAATGTGTGCAGGTTTAACTAGGCAATTTCATTTTCGGCTTTGAAGAGCAACTTCAGCCTCCCTTCCTTCCATTGCTTTGGTTTCTTTCTTCAGAAAGATAGTATTTGGCATTCACACTAAGGGCTGGTTTACTCTTGCAGAAGTTACCTCCTCCTGGCCTTCCTCACTTACCACAAACACTATTTGTGTTTGTCTGATGGACAGAAAATTTATCCCATTATGCGGCAATAGTAACTGTGCAAAGGCTCTCAGCTCAAGAGCCCAGGTTCTCATGGGGAAAAGTGCTCTCAGACTCCCGCAGACTGCAGACCACTTTGTGAAATAGATGGTACCCAGGAACCACCAACTGCCTTCATTGCCACTTGGGACAGGCCCAAATGAAAACCACACCCTGGCAAATGGAAAGGCTGGGACTGCCTCTGGCTGGCTGCAGGCTAGACAATGCCTACATTTATTAAATATTATAAACAAATAATTTAATAATGCCAGAAACCAAACCAGAGATGCTATCACACAATAAATAAGCATTAATACCACAGCCCACAGACCACCTTGTTCTCCCACTGATGATTGCCAGGTGGTCTCTGAGACTACTTTCGGAATACTTTAATTAAAATACTACTAGTAGTAGTTTACATTAATAACCCACATAAATAATAAAAATTATTCTTTTTCAATAACTTTAGCTTCCTTCTCAGATATGAGTAAAGCATGGTTAAAGTTCTCTAGCGTTTCAGTTTGCTCTATATAATTATCAAATGAGTGATATTTTGATATGAAAGGGCCAAAAATTTTACCCATGGATCATGCTAATGTCACCATTTTCTAAACATGCCTCCTATGTAGAGCATGAAGTTTGACCTCTCTCTCTCTCTCTCTCTCTCTCTCTCTCTCTCTCTCTCTCTCTCTCTCTCTCTNCTCTCTCTCTCTCTCTCTCTCTCTCTCTCTCTCTCTCTCTCTCTCTCTCTCTCTCTCATGCACACACATGCAATACCATCCTGTTTCCAATTACCCATAAACTCTATCCTTGAAGAGACATATTTAAAATTTGCTCTACAGTCTCCATTCTTGGCTGCCTCATTAAAAAAACCTTCTTATTTAAAAAAAACAACTCATGATTTCCATGGTTAGCAGAATGCACAGTGGTTTTGATAACAGTGGGACGGGGCTCTATAAAGTTATAAGACTAAGAGCTTGAATATAATGAAGTTTTAACTTAAAATGATTAACAGAACTAATCTCCATAGATTAAAACTCAATAGACAAGAATTACCAGAGGATTCTTCCCCATTTCTTTAAGTTAAGCAGTATCTTTTAAATCTTTATCATCATCTTCACCATCATCAGTCATTTACAATGAACTTTAATATTCAGAATTGTATCAACACTATAAACATTTCTTACAGCCATCCCTTTATTGACACTATTATAACTATGGCCTCAATTCGGACTCTCATATCTGCAGCCTGACTTCTGCAATAAGATTTCTGAGACAGAACACTAAACCACCTGACCTGAACCCTGATTCTGGTCTTTTGATATTCCTTAGAGACACTGTTCCATTTATTTATTGTTTCCTACTATCTGACACCTTCTTTTAGGAGAACAAATAGGCTGTTGTCTTTGTTTGTGTCATCCCAATGTACAACATGCAAAATTAATAAACAAACAGTCTAGGAATTTTCCTTTAGAAGTGTATCTTTGAAGGGAGACAGGGAGGAGGCTCAGTGGGTAAGGGTACTTGCCTCTAAGTCTGATGAGTTAAATTTGATCCCCTGAACCTACATGATAGAGAGAACTGACTCCCACAAGCTGTCCTCTGACCTCTAAATAAGCAGTGTGGGATGTGTGTGCACATGCACACATAAGGTCTCACACACACACAAACACACATACACACACATAATTAATAAACATAGAAATAATATCTATGTTTATTATCTATGTAAGCCGTAATATCTTCGGTAGAAAAAAATCATAATCTTAAAAGTAGGTGTTATCTGCCCAGCACTATAATGTTGTAATTGTTCCAACAACTTCATGGTTTGTATGAGAATTCTAGCGCAGCAGTAAAAGTGAGAAAACAAGAGAAGGAACCAGGCACTCAGCTAGAGGCTGTAGCAGTTCGTGTGTGTCAGGGAAACAGCCTTCAGTGGTTAGCTCAAATGTGCTTGATGGGGATGTGTTTTAAAAAGACTTTTTAGGGGAACTGATACAGTCACTCTACTGACACAGCTGCACAACTGCATAAAAATAGCATATCTGAAATCCCTGGTATCTGAGAACAATCGAGCCATGTTTATAACACCCTTTACAAAGCTGGCTTTCCAGCTCTAAGCTCTGCCCTTATCTGGACCTTTTCTCTTTGGGAGGAGGAATACTTAAATTATAAGACTAGGGATTAAAAACAGAAGTTAGAAATTAGACTGACAAGCCAAATCCCAGTGATGCCTGTTTTTTACATACAGTGAAGTTCTATTGGAATACAAGCCTTCAGATATAGTTAGTGACTGTGTTTGGTTTGGCACATTGCATAATTACAATTATTATTATTAAAATTACAAAACAGATACCACAGTCCCTATAAAGCTTAATATATGAACTTTGGCCCTTTCCTAAAAATGTCTGAAGTCCAAAATCATGGTTTGCAATCTAAATTCTGCAGGTATTAAAGATAGTACTAATTATATTTTTTGAGCCTAACTTTATTTCTTACTGTATAAGAACAATAAGCTCAGCTTTATGGAATGTCATAAATATTAAACAAAAATACACAGAGCTTACTCAGTGACAATCTCTGTGTATATATGTTTAATCTACATGACACAAATATTCATATTCCCCACAGATATTCTTTTCTTTTCACCCATTCCCCTTCTCTTGATCTACAGAATTCCAACCTACCAAAAAACTACTTCAAAAGGAATTCACCACCAACAAAAGAAAAAAACTCAGCCCTTTTTATAGTTTCTCCTGTGGATATAATTCCCTTCCCCTTTTTCTTCCCTTTCCTGTCTCCTTGTGCACTTTTGAAAGAAAAGAATGAATGAAGAAAGAAAAAAGAATGAATGAAAAGAATGAGCATCTACTAGCTTGAGTAAGACACTGCCTTTTAATGTAAGCGTAAATCAGTACAATGAAAAGGCAGATAATTGTGGGGAGCAGAAAAGCCTTGAGAGAATGTGTGCAGTGGGTGAGGTCCTGAGTGACATGGCACAGCCTTGAGAACCAATGCCTCAGATGTATGGGGAATCGGAAAAGTTCCCCCACACATCGGGCTCTGGGATACCTTTCTCTGATATGATTATGAATGCTGACAGTGGGTATAAGTGCAAGGGTTTATATGAGTTTATAAATGATTGACAAGTGTCTATAGGGACCAGCACCTGCAGCTTCCTCCTGCTGCATGCTTAGAGCCTGAGACTTCTCAGATACAGAGACCTCCTACCAAGACTAGTTTGCTTTCTTTGTGTTGAGATTCTGAGCTATTGCAGAAGTAAGTGCTATTCCTTCAGAGTGTACACAGCCCACTTGAAACCCACTTTTCTGCACGTGGTATGTGTGACTGGCCTTTCTTCATTCCCTCTCCCCCCTGTGCAGATAATGGCAGCTACAATAACAAACACTTAAAAATAAGTCAATGTGGCTTAAGGTCTACAACAGATCTCACTACAAGTAACATTGGAATCTGGTTGGACCTGAAATCCAGCATTAATTTGGATTAATGGTTGCCAATCTAATTATAAATTGTGCCTCTCATAAACATTTTCTAAATAAGCAGAAAATCCCCTGAGGACTTAGTTCTATTGACTTTTGAATATTTTTTGACGCACTTTCAAAGGGTGTTTTGTGCTCCTACTACTATGGGTCCATAAAAATCACCATCATTTCTGTGCTCAAGTGCAGCTTTCTGAAACCCTCTCACTTCCAGAAGCAGAGTTCATGCTTTCCATTAGTGCCCCCTTACTCCCTCCCACAAGCAGACAATCTAGAGAAGCATACCAAGAACCCACCTCAGAACTTACAGGTTCCTATGTCAAAATGGAGATGGATCAAAGAAAGACTGAAGAAGCAGTGTCCAATAGGAGAAAACAAACTGTACTTAAATAGATTACTAAAAAAGGTCAACTTTTTTGTGGGGGGGCAGGATCAAGCATAAGCACCCAGAATGAAATTCCATAATAATGGGTACCTTTTTAAATGACCTTTTCTTTGCACTAGATAGTTATGCTATGGGCTTCAGTAGGGTTACTTTTGCTGGATAGGATATTGAGTGCACAGCACTGACCATGGTGTGAGAAAAGTCTTCAAGAGCCCTTTCACCTCCATCTTTGGTAGTTGTCCCTGCCAAGCCTATGCACATATACTGACTCTATTGCTGCACTGAATTTCTCTGCATATTTTACCTCACTTGGTCCCTACAAAAAGACTACAAGGTGGCTTTTGTTACTTTTTATTATTGGGAGCTATACAAATCTGGAACCTCCTCTCTTCAGAGAGATGAAATAACCAATCTACCGATGCATAATTGTTAAGTCAGTTAGGCAGAATTCAAACCCAAGTCCGTCTGGCTCCATGATTTCCCGTCATCACACTGTGCCTCCTCTTCATCTTTCCTCAGGGAATACTCACTAGAAACAGTAAGCTGCCATATACCACATTGGGATAGAAGCTCACAGAAACAGAAAGCCTTCTGAGGCCATGAGGTGAGTCTCTGCAAAGGAAAAGAGAATGCTTGGCTCTAAATGAAAACAATGTGACTGTTCAACACATCCTTAGAGAATGTTTGCCTTTCTAGAGTGAAATGCACTGGTGCAGGTGCAAGCCAGTCAATTGTTAACTCAGCTTGGGATAAGAATTTATTTCCCACCATGACTTGTCTGAAATCAGTGTCGGCAGCTTTAATGATCAACCCACAATCAGTGGGCCTCTTCATCTTATCAGGAAGCTTGATTTGCATTTTAACATTGCCATAATAATTAACAAATTATGCAAATAACCACCCAGTTATTCATTGACTGTGAAGAGCAAGCTTCTCATGGAGTAATTTCTAAGAAAGATTATAAGAGCAATAGTGGTAGGCGAAGGAATACTTACCCATTAACTGATTCTAGCCAATATCACGGCCCCATTTTCAGAGGCAACTTATCCAAGGAACAAAAGAAAACTCTGGAATTCAAAAGACTTGAGTTTAAATCTTGCTCTGCCACAGACAAAAATATTGTATCTTGAAGTTTTAGCAGGAATCAAGTAACACCAGGTGAGTTTACAGAGGTATAATACCAGTTACAACACAAAAATACTGAGTTCTAGTATGGGTTTCATGAGTACATTCACTGAGATTGCATCTGAATTCACTAAACTAAATGGGATGCTGTAAGGAAGACTTGGGGATGTTCATTTTAAACAACAAAAGCAAAAGTTGCCATCTACTTCATAATTACATACTACTTAGTGGCATAAGCTCCAGTAGGATATTCTTTTTCTGAGACAAACTCACATGGGAAAGAACAGAATTGGATACATGGAAAATCAATACTGGGTGTCAACAGGCCCAAGAGAGATATCTTGTTTACATTTTTAGGAATCAGAAGAAAACTAACTTACCATCAAGTCAAATTCAGAAAGAGGAAAAGAATCCACTAGCCAATAGTAGATATCAAAATGATTACATGTTTGACACATCTCTGACATAAGTTGATCAATGACTCCACCCCATCCCATAGCATTTCCATGGTTTTGCCATACAATAGCAGTGCCATTTCAGTGGAAGAAATGATATCATCTCCACTCCTTGACTTTGAACTCAACCAGTTTATTTTCTTCAATCAAAAGAACTGGATAGAAATGAAACTGTGGTATAACTGCCATATCATCAACAGGCTTGAGCTTGTCTGGTAATTCTAGTAGGAAGATGAGGGACACAAATCACAAAGGCACTCAAACCCAGCCTAGACCCATCAACCATCAGCTGACACTTAATAATAGTAATTATAAAACTAATGAATGACAAATAGTTCTTTGTGGAGAGATACACTTGCTATACACAGTAACTTACTGTAATACTCAATATCCATAAACTCAACAAGACTCATCAACAACAAAAATTAAAACCATGACTAGAAAAGAAAAAAAGATAAGAGGAAAGGGATGAGAAAACAGACTTCTGAATTTTTCTCTCAGACCAAAAATTCCAATCCTTATAAATATAAAAGAAAAGGTAGAAGTCAGAATCAAGTAATATTTTCAGTGTCTCAGAGATCATTCACTTGAAGTGTGGACAGACTAGAAAGACCACATGCCTTAGGATAAGAACTTGAGTTCTTAATTATGATATAAATGTTCTAAGTGTTTATTACCTTGTGGGCTAAAAAGGGAAAATTTTGTCCTTGATTTTGGAGGATGAATGTGAGCATTGGAAAAATGACAATAAATGCATGGTAGCTATTAATATTGATACAATGGTAGTTCAATACCATCTGGTCTCTGCCTATTTTTGTTCCCACGTGAGTAATTTAGCCCCTGGTGACCACCATTTGTTCCCAGGCTGCTTCTAACCTAGAGTCCTAGTAGTCAGAGCTTCCTGTCCTGTCTCTGACAGTGAAATAAATGCTGACAACATACAGGCAAGTTCTCAAATAAAGGCAGATAAACTTACTGTGGTGCTGTGCAGGCATTCTGTTAGGCATTTCATTTCCGTTTCATTATTACTCCACTGGCCTTTACGCTATTTTGTCATTGTCGATGTTTTCAGAAGAGCACTCCAAGGAGCAGAAACTCTGATTGCCTTTTCCAAGATCACCTCCATCTGAGGGAGAGAAAGGACTCAAAGCCAGATTTTCACGGTTAGACTGTCATCAAAGCTTTATCATTTCACCTCCCGATTTTTCAGAACATTCCCAAGCCTGGATGGGATTAGTCCTTATATTTCTGAAACACCAGTTTCTCAGAAGTCATGAGTGAGATGTGTAGCAGATTCTCTGTTACCAGGCCACAGGTCACTTTTCTGATCATTCAGATTGTTATCATAATATCTGACTTCTGAGTTCTTATTGATGAAGAATATTTAGATAAAGGTTTCATCTGTTGCTTCACATTGAGCACTATATGTGGAGATTCTTTCTCTGTCCCACCAGTCAGCTCCCAAATCATGACATGAAGAGTTATTATAAATTATAAAAACGCAGTCAATAACTTAGGCTTGTTTTTAACTAGCTCTTATAACTCACATCAGCCCATTTTTTTTTTTTAAATTTACTTTCTGCCTCGTGGTTTTATTGCCTTTACTCTGTATTGTAGCTAGCTGCATGGTGTCACACCTGATGGAGATGTATAATCAACTCCCGAGATGGCTAAGGCCTGACCTATGCTATGATCACGCAATGATCATCAGCTGCTTGCATATGCGTGGGCCTATGGGCAATGCCCACCTGGCAATCCGGGATTGGTAGCCCATGCCTACTTAAGGGCTGAGAGAGGTTTGCCCGGGGAGAGAGGTTTGCATAAAGAGGAGAGAGGAAAAGGGAAGGAAAGAGACATGTTTGCAAGGAGAGAGAAGGTAGAGAGAGAGGGTAGAGAGAGGGAAAGAGAGAAGGAGAAGGAGAAAGATTATTGTAAATAAAGTCCTGAAAACTGCTGCAAGAAGAGCTCCGGGTGTTGCGTTTTTCCTTGCAGGACGAGGGTGGACGTGACACTGTGTTGCCCATGCTGCTTTCTTGCTTCCTCTTTGTCTGGCTGGTGA